AGATTTCCTCTATTTACGGGAAACGAGGGAAATTTTTTCAATTTTTGATGGTAATGTCCTCGACTAGATACAAATTGTGATCTTTTGACGTATCGTTGAAAGAAATCAGTTCGATGAGAGCTGAGAAAATGTGGTAAGAGACACAAAAAAATAAATAAAAATAAAAAAAAACACATCTTAGTAAAATTAATACCTTCTCAGCTTCGCATCGAAGCTAAAAAAATTGTTTATAACACTTGTATTTTTTAAGATTTTACATGAGACATAGTTAGGGAATTACTCTGTATAAATCATTTCTAAAAAAAAAAGATTTTTAGTTTCACATGAATTGTGATTAAATTTTATAATACTCTCAAATTGAATAGATTTTTTTGACAAGTTTTAGTTATTAATAAAATTATATAAGAGTAAATTTTAAAATTATAAATATAAATTCGAAAAGGTATTATTCTAAAAGAAATAAAAACATTTATGCTTATCTAACTACTGGTTTATTAACATTTTAATATACCAGTAGTATAAACAAATAATACAAATAAAAAAGTATATGTAGAACAGCTGTCATAATGATATTTAAAATCTAGGTTTTTCATTTCTTCCATGTCAATATCATTTGCTGCCAGTCAATCGACGGTAATAAGAGTGCGAAAAATAAAGGATAATAATATGAAATAATGATAAAAATACTATTGCCCACGTCCTAATTCCAATGATTGTCCTTGTAATTTAATCAAGTTTTCATAATGATTTATTTTAAATATCAATATTTAATAATTCAATTTTGTACAAACAAGGTAGCACATATAAGGAACAAAAATAGTCACAAATGAATCAAAATAATATTAATTAAAGAAATAACATTAACAGATTTCAAAATCATTTACATAAAAAATATTTTGTTTAGATTTATTTATAAATTTACACTTATTACATCTTCAATCGTGTCGTTACATACTAAACATTTGTTTTGTGAAATGCAATTATTGCAAAACCAACCATGACCACATGGTCTCACTATATGTTTGTTTAAAGGATTCGCATCCATTATTTTGTTGAAGCAGCTTATACAACGTACTTCTCGTCGATTTAAGATATATATTGGCATTAAACTAGTATAATCTAAATGAAAATAATGAAAATTAGTTTTTTTTTCTAACACAAAATTATAAGAGTGAACAATTATGTCACTTTTTACTCAAGCATATTAAGTACTATAGGAAAAGAAACTGCACTCACTAATGCAGAATTAATTTAATAAATATATATTTTTTACATTACTTGACTTTTATTTATTCTAGTCCTTAGTTATTTGGTTTATATATAACTAAAATAAACCAAGTATACAGTATTTAAATCTACAACAAATTGTGTAAATCTGTGGCTTATAGTGTATATAATTTATTATGAGAGCTTAGTATGCCACTAAAATGGCTGTTGAGATTTTTTTTATAACCTTTGTCAAGCCGTATGTTTTGTTTCGCGTATCAAAAATTTATGATTAAATATTAATGGAAATTTTTGTTTTTTTGAACATTAATATTCGTATTAAGAAAAATAAAAGGATTTGAAAAATGACTAATATATTTTTTTTTAACTTTATGACACGGCACCGCCTTTTGCTTTAGGCTGGCGCTCGCCCGTGTCTCTCTCGATATCAGCCGTCCAGCTATTAATATGACNTTTAGACTGGCTCTCTCGATATCAGCCGTCCAGCTATTAATATGACAATCGGTCGTCTCCCCGCCCTTGACACTGAGATAAGGCCGCCGCCGAATATGGATGACTGATATTGCGTTCTGTTCGGTTCCGACGTTGACCTTGACTGGTTCGCCTTTTTCTTGTGCGCTGTTTGTGTTTCATTGTTTTTCCCGTGTTTTTCTTGGATTGCGGCGAGTGTGCTCATTACCGATATTACCGACGACAGAAGGGCCCATTGTTACATACGTATAACATTGTTCGAATTTTGGAAAATATCTCATATTATAAGAATCAACTATTGTCTTCCGATGTTGTTTTCTTTGTTTTTACTGTTGTGCTTGTGTAAATTGACACGGACCGCGTCGCTTCGTTATACACGATGCCCCGCGACTCGTGCCACCTTTATCAGCCGTCGCCCTACTATGAATATTTGACTGACCAACATCGCTTGTTATACGCTACGGTGCAAAGTCCAGCAAATGCCGACGACGACCCGCCGAAAATGGTGCGAGAGTCTTCCTCCCGTCGTGAAAGCGACAACGCCGCGACCANAAACAAATAATAAATAAAAAAATATTGATAGCAATATTACATTTCATTTTACAATAGTAGTTAATAAATAATAATTATTTATAATGAGTAAAATGAATTATGATTCACATTTGTGTAAAACAATAGTTCATTGATACAGTAGAAGTCCGATAATCCGGCATCCAACAGTCCGGAATGCCCTATAGTCCGGCATCGCTCCGGAAAATTGTAAAAATTTTGGTTTTCTCCAAAAAAATGCCATTAAAGCAAATAAAAATGATCAAGGGGTTATTCAAAATTTTAAATGCTTTTATAGAAGGTTTTTTATTTAAGGTCTGTTAAATACCGACTGTGACGTGACTGATTTCAAAAAAAGTTTACAGTAAAAGATGCCGTCTATGCTATTGCACTGTCTTGGAACCAGGTAAAAAATACAACACTCTAAAAATGCAGGATAAAACTTTGGCCAGCTGCAAACCCTGTATCTGACCTAACTCTACAGACTGATGAGAAAGTAAACAATCAAGACGCTCTGACCAAAGTTTTAGATGTCGTTAGAAGTGCTGACAATCCCTTGAAAAACCTGCCTGAAGATGAGGTAGAAGAGTGGCTTCTAATCGACGAGAATGATCCTGTTGAACAAGGACTAACCGATGAGGACATTATCAAAAGTGTCGTAAACCCTCAGTCTACTCCAAATCTTGAAGAAAGTGACTCAGATACCGAAACAGAAGAAAAGGAAAAAATCAGCTGGACAGAAGCTACAGTATCACTAAATAAGTTTATCTCTTTTGCTGAGGCTATTACTAACTACAGTGCTTCAGAAATTATTGATCTCCATATCATTAAATATAAATTTTATACTAAACGCCAAAAGTCATGATAACAAAAAGATATTCGTGACTTTTTTAAATCTAAATGAAATATGTATTACAGTACTTGCACATAAATTATATGAAAAATAAAACAAACTTTTTTGTATTTGCATACTGTATTTTTAGTTTAATTATTAACCTAATTGTTCTTATAGCAAAGCCTACACTATGAAAAATACTTGTCGAAAATAGAATGCAAATTACTAACAACGTTTGCTAACAAAGTTTTCTAAGTAGGTTCGCAAACTTAAACTGTACACCTCACGAAATAAATTCGAAAATGTTACAGTTAATCTTTATGTTATTTTTTGAACAATAATGTTAATTTATTAAGCTACTACTCATAGAAAATTTATTTTCTGTTACTATTCTTTATAAACTCATGTCGACTTTTAATTTTTAAATAACAACCTCGATTTTTTACATTCTTGATTTAATAAAATCAAAGATACTTCGATATATTTAAATATATTTATTATTTATAATAAATATAAATTTAAACATTTATTGAATTTGTAAAATATGTCTGTAACACATTTTAAATGATGAACTATCCAATAAAAATGAAATAGAAATATTTTTTTCCATCGAATTGCTAATTATTCACACCATTTATTATGTAGTTACTAAGTTGTAACAACAGTAAAATCATTAATTACTCATTGGTAGATGATATAAATTAATACATTTTACCTGTCTTGTAATTTTCGATCAATTTCTCACAAATATTGTTATTTACAGATATCATCTATACTGGACCCAACTAACCACGACCCCATAGTGCCGCCACCCCATTTTACTAGGTTTTTTCATATATAAGTACATTATTTTAGCTTTTATTTGATATAAATTGAAAATAAATTATATGTGGATGTCTTTTGAATATTTTCGTTTCATATGTAGCTAAAACCGTATAAGATATCAAATATAAATAAAATAAATAGTATAATATAATAAAACAAACAACTCTCTTTGTTATAGCAAAGTTGACAGCAAATGTTATTTATTATCAAACCTTNGCATCACTCCCTCAATTCTCGGGTAACAAGGAGGAGGACCCAGCACGCTTCCTTATGACGGCAGAACGTATTTTGCAGGAAGCAAATATACACCCTGCTACATGGGTTCGCGCAGTTGAGCCTCAACTAATTGGGTTAGCCGCAACATGGTGGAAAAAGGTTGTAGTTCTTGATATGTCATGGGCCGAATTTAAAAATAGTTTCACTAATAAATTTGATAGCCCCGTCATTCAGTCTCGCCTCCGTACAGATATCTTATCAGTTTGTCAAGGTTTATACCAAACACTGACCGATTATGTAATGGAGAAACACCTTTTATATCGCTGAGTTCGAACGTGTCTTTCTGAATTTGAGATATTAGACAATGTCATAGATCTTATGAGAGACGAATTCAGAGCCCATGTCCGGTTACAAAACCCCTCCTCATTCTCTCATCTTCAACAGCTAGCTGAAATTTTAGATAGGTCCTTAGTTTTTACTAAAGAGCCCCTGAATTCAGTTCCGTCTAGGCAGGTGAATAAATCATATCACCAACCGAGTAAACCCAAACAAGAGTTTACAAAATCGGCCACCCGCCCAGACAAAAACCCACCCACAAAGCCACCGCTCCCGTGTAAGCATTGTAAGGGACTACACTGGAACAGTGAATGCCCAACTAAGCACTCGGGAAACGGGTCGAAAGCCCGTGGAAATTAGTCCAGCCCTCGGGTCACTCATCACTTTCCGACGGTAATCTACAAGTTTCCCAAACGCTAGTACTCAGCTCTGATAATTCGGTAAACGAATCAACTGACATTCAAGTGATTGATCATGAAATAGTAGACATTACCGCTAATTCTCAACCACCCGTGTCAACCTATACACCGTTAGACCTAGCTAATCTTACCTCACCACACAACCGATTACTCAAATCACCAAATCACCCACATCACCCTGGCCTTGGCTCTGATATTCTTGACCAAAGAACAACCAACGGTTCAGAATTTCACAAATCACCACGAGTAATCGAGTTGAACCATCATCACTCTACAGCTAGTCAAAACGAAGTTATTAGGTCACATAGTTCCGAAAACCAAAATACCTCCCCAAAGGAACGGTTAGGTTTCGAACAAATCACTTTGGGTTTTGACACACAAAACGATTGCCACCACAAGGGTAGGAAAGTTAGTTTTAATACACGTATTGACAGATTAGAACAAGACACTCGAAATGTTACTCATCTTGAGCAACCCGAATGTCCTGGACTTGCGTCTATACGAACTGTATTAGACAAAAACCAAAATAGAATTTCAACACCCTGTATAGAGTTGGAATTCGAATCAGGTTTCGTCACTGCTCTTCTTGATTCCCAGGCTCAAAAATCGTACGTCAGACCTGAAATTTCGAGAATTTTCGGAAAAACAATCCCCGGACCAACTTCACAAGTTCGAATGGCAGATGGCCACAGCCAAACCACCAGTGGTCACGCCTCTTTCGAAGCCAGGGTCACAGATATCATCATTAACTTTGATGCCTCGACTCTGGACAATTTATACTGCGATATCCTACTAGGACACGATTTCCTCGTGAAAAACGAAGTCGCGTGGGACTACTCAGCAGGCACCATTTACTTGGGCACCCCTAAGCGAACATCAGTTTGCTGGACAGGCCCTAAAATTCTGCAAAGTCCCAAAGAGTTAGATTTTTCTGAGATTCAAATTTCGAGCGATCCTATCACACGAAAACAATTAGCAGACGTTATTTCTAAATACTCTGAGGTTTTTGATGGTTCAATAGGCCGCACGAAAATCATTGATCACGAAATCCGACTTAGGGACCACACACCCATTGCTCTAAACCCATACCCTTATCCACCCAACAAACAGAATACCATTAACGAGATGATAAGGGACATGNTCAACGACATGATAAGGGACATGGAGGAGCAAGGCCTAATAGAACCTAGTACGTCACCCTGGGCCGCACCTATAGTCCTTGCAAAGAAAAAAGATGGTTCGCCTCGACTTTGCATTGATTACAGACGGCTTAATGAAGTGACCGAATCTGATGCTTACCCCATGCCAAACTTAAATGACATGATACGGAACATGAGAGGTGCAAAAACTTTTAGCGTACTTGATCTTAAGTCCGGCTATTTTCAAGTTTCTTTGAACCCAAATTCCCGGAAGTATTCAGCTTTTCGAACACGTAAAGGTCTCTATCAATTCAGAGTTTTACCATTCGGTTTAAAGAATTCCCCCATGACTTTTGTTAGACTGATGAACGAGGTTTTAAGAGGATACTTAGATGATTTTGTTCAAGTTTATCTCGACGATATAGTTATATATTCGGATAGCTTTAACAACCATCTTAATCACTTAGCCAAAGTTCTTGAACGTCTGAGCAGACATGGACTGACGTGCCACCCCAAGAAATGTAGAATAGGTACTACCGAAATCTCTTTCCTCGGGCACTTGGTAGACGCAGACGGAATTCAAAAACAACCCGAAAAACTTCTGGCCATCAAAGAATTCCCTATTCCACGCAAAGTTAAGGAGCTTCGCAGATTTCTGGGGGTATGTAATTGGTACAGCCAGTTTGTAGACAACTATGCTGACACCATCGCTCCCCTCACTCATCTATGAAAAAAAGGTATTAGATGAAAATGGTCAGGTAACGAACAGAATGCGTTTGACACCATAAAGAACGCCCTGTACGACTCCCCAAAGCTTTGTCCTCCTGACTATAGTAAACCCTTTTGCCTCCAAACCGATGCAAGCGAAATAGGTGTAGGAGCTGTTCTTTTCCAACGGGGTGACAGACCTGAGGAAAGACAAGTAATCGCCTACGCTAGCAAAAAGTTAAGTGAGACACAAAGGCGTTATACAGCAGTCGAAAGAGAATGCTTAGCCATTATCTGGGCAGTCGATAAATTCCGACCCTATCTAGAAACCGGCCGTTTTGAACTCCTTACGGACAATTCAGCATTGACCTGGCTTCACAAAACAAAAGACCAGAAATCAAAACTGACCCGATGGGCATTACAATTAAGTAATTTCAATTTTCGAACGACTCATGTTCCAGGACACCTTAATCAGGCCCCAGACATGTTGTCCCGAAACCCATCAGATGGTCCGCCCGTCAATGAAGAAAAGTTAGATGAGAACCTATTAGGGGTACCCACATCACAACTTCAATCATCACTCAACCAAGGTACACCCGATAGACTTTTCTCGCTAACCCATCACGAGGTCGATCTAAATGACACACCTGTTTCTGAGAAAGAGTTAAGATCGTGGCAATTGGATGACTCATATGTAAAATCTGTAATGGATAGCATATCCTCCCATTGCCCAGCCAACAATACACGACGGTCCAAAGCCCAAAAGAAATCTTTTATCGTGGTTGATGGCCTCATCCGGAACTTCGGTAGTATATCAAAAGACGACCCCTCACCAATCCCATCCATAGTGGTACCACTCAGTAAAACACAAAAAATAATTTGGTGGTACCACGACCACTCTCTAGCCAGTCATCCTGGTTGGAAAGAAACTTTCAGGGCTGTTCGACAAAGGTTTTATTGGAAAAATATAAAAGAGGACGTTAGGAAATATGTTAGGGCATGTCACATTTGCGCTTGCACAAAACCCCTAAACGTAAAACCTGAAGACCCTCTAAGACCTAGAAAACCACGACAGCCATGGGAAGTTATAAGTATAGATTTGATGGGCCCCTACCCTAGAACCGCTAGAGGGAAAACGTCTATACTTGTAGTCACTGATTGCTATAGCAGATGGATTGAAGCTTACCCATTAGGCTCCGCCACTTCTAAAGTAATTATACAAACACTTGAACGCGAATACTTCTCGCGTTTCGGGTACCCTCGCGTGTGTTTGAACGACAACGGAACTCAGTTCACTTCTAACGAAATGCTCAGAGCACTCGAGCGATGGGGGGCAGAGGGCTGGACTACTCCGGTGTTCCACCCCCGAGCTAACCCAGTCGAACGTCGCAACCAAGAGCTGAAAAAGGGACTCCGTGCACTTTTAGTGGGCGAAAGTCATCGCTCTTGGGACACTAAGCTATCGTCGATACTCTTCGCAATTCGGAATCGACTGAATGAGGCAACAGGATTTTCGCCGTCAGTATTAGTACTTGGTAGAGAAGCCAAGCGACCTGGCGATTGGGCCCTGTTTGAACCTCCCGTCATTCCTATGGAGGAGACTAACCGACATAGGCGAGGGCAAGAGATGGCGACCTTGTTAAACCAAGAAAAAAAATCAAAAAACATCACCCCGAAGAAGTCACAATTTTCGACTGGTGACTGGGTGTATTACAAGGCACATCACTTATCAAACGCAAACAAAAGTTTCCATGCGGGGTTTGCGCCTAAGTGGCTAGGACCAGTCCGACTGGCGGAACGCATAAGTCCAGGAGTTTATCTCACAGACCAGCTACCGCCCCGGAAACTTCACGTCTCGTGTCTGAAGATATCTCATACGGTGGGTGAGCCAAAGGATCAAAAAGGATCTTAGTAACTTACTTCCCTACGTAAACGTTACAATATGTCCACATGTGTTAATCGTTTGTTGTTACCGTCTGTTTCTAGCATGTCACAGCAACCACAGCGACAAAAACACCAAACGCAAAGACCTGTTAAGCCAACATACAACGACCAGTTAGCAGCTTTGGTTCAGAACCACCTGGCTGGCCAACAAATGTTAGCGAACCTAGGAGCTCGCTTTCCTAACGCCCGGCCGTCGGTAGAGCAGGTACTTACAATGCCAGAAAGGGACTTGCAACGATATCCCGATCTGTGGACCGCCTACATTCGCGGATGAGAAAAATGTATGGCAGGAATTCCTACTCCTCCCCCTGCAATCTTCCAACCGACAGTCCGGCCCTCATTTGTTCGCCTCAACGTCAACCACAACCGTATAACCATCCAAAACGGACTACCAGCGTACCGGCGACAAGCACGAAAGTCATGCCATCGACATCTACCGCCACTGCAAGTGCCAAGTCTGGTCCCGGCTCTACCACTTCGTCAACTCAGTCTTACGTTGGAATGACGTATAAGGAGAAAAAAAGACAACGCATGGTGGATTACAGGAGGCAGAAGAAGCAGGAATTGCAACGACTCACCAGGGAAATCAAGTTGCAGTCCTCCTATGGCTCACAACAGCACCGTTTGGCTAAGACGACGGAGATCCAAGTAGCGACACCACCAACCCCCATGCCAAGGACCGTTCCACCTATAGAAGTAGCCACCGAGATAACAGAGGAGGCACCAATGGACATCGAGGTTCCGGCAGGAGAGCTCATGCAATCTCCCGACTGTCTCAATGAAGATATTGAGACTTTCCTCAATCAACCTCTACCATCTGCTCCCTAGATCTCCTTGCTCTTTCCTTCCCAATCCTATCTCCTCTTGGGAGTGTCACCCGCTATCCTTAGAGGAAGTCGATAGTGAACACCTCAGAAAGCCCGTTTTCCCGAAAGGGACTTAGCGATGCTATAAAGGAGAGGATATAGAGGAAGAGAAAAGAATTGTATCGACTGAGATTTAGTTCACCGGTTGCACAGCTTAGTGAGGGAGAGTTGACACGGCCCGTAATAGCGCACTANCAAATTTTAAAGTTATTTCTCTAGACTTCAAAGAAACAAAAAAATTTTAATATGTTTAACTTTTTACACTATGTCAAATAGATTAATAAAATATTTATGAAAACCAGTGTAATCCCTTTATAATAAAATAAAATACAAAACCAAGAACTTTAACACAAAAATAGCATATTTTTGAATACGATAGCTATTTTCAGCATGAAGACAAAATAAAGTACGAAATTTTTTTTTTACTATTTAGTATTGACACGGCACCGCCTTTTGCTCTAGACTGGCGATCACCCGTGTCTCTCTCGATATAAGCCGTCCAGCTATTAACATGACAATCGGTTGTCTCCCCGCCCTTGACACCGAGATAAGGTCGCAGCAGAATATGGATTACTGATATTGCGGTCTGTTGCGTTTCCGACGTACACCTTAACTGGTAACTCCGTTCTGATTCTGTTTCTTTGTGCCCTTTTTGTTTTNTAGTAACTCCGTTCTGATTCTGTTTCTTTGTGCCCTTTTTGTTTTTTTTTTGGTTCGTTTTTATAACGTTGTTTCAACATCTGTTACCGTGACCGTTATTTTTAACGCCTTATACGGATACTC